AGGAAAACTAATAAATTTTGGAGATTAATCACAGAATTTTAGACTCTTCTCATCATAAATATTTACTCTTAATGCTGAAAAGTAATAAAGATTGATTGATTTGATTTTTACGGCTTATCAACCTGTTCCAGCTTATTTAAAGCCAAAATTTTTTTTTTCAGATTGTAAGAATTTTTGGAAATAATAATGATTGACTAATACAAGTTCGACTATTTAACCCACAGTTGGAGGAGAAGAGGTGTATTCCCTTGATTATTGCGCGTAAGTGAATATAACGGAGCCAAATGGCCTCTGCGATTTTTCAATTCCGAGACATTATACCTACATCCAAGCTTTACAGCACCTGGCATACCCAAGTGGTCACCCATTTAGGTACTGACCAGGTTCGGCATTGCTTAACTTATCCGTTACACCGCACACATATCCAAGCTTACAGCACCTGGCATTCCCAAGCGGTCACCCAATTAGGTCCTGACCAGGTTCGACATTGCTTAACTTATCCGTTACACCGCACATATCAAGCTTACAGCACCTGGCATTCCCAAGCGGTCACCCAATTAGGTCCTGACTAGGTTCGACATTGCTTAACTTATCCATTACACCGCACACATATCCAAGCTTACAACCTGGCATACACAAGTGGTCACCCATTTAGGTACTGACCAGGTTCGACATTGCTTATCTTATCCATTACAGCGCACACATATCCAAGTTTATATCACCTGATATTCTGAAGCGGTGACCCATTTAGGGACTGACCAGGCTCGACATTGCTTAACTTATCCATTACACCGAACACATATTCAAGCTTACAACACCTGGCATTCCCAAGTGGTCACCCATTTAGGTACTGACCAGGTTCGACATTGCTTAACTTATCCATTTGCACACCGCACACATATTCGAAACGGTTTTTTAGGTACAGCACCTAAACTTATTCCGAAACGGTTACCCAGGACCTTTAGGTTACCCATTTACTGACCAGGCTCGACATTGCTTAACTTATCCATTACACCACCTGCACATCCAATCTTACAGCACCTGGCATTCCGAAACGGTTACCCATTTAGGTACTGACCAGGCTCGACATTGCTTAACTTATCCATTACACCACCTGCACATCCAATCTTCCAGGACCTGGCATTCCGAAACGGTTACCCATTTAGGTACTGACCAGGCTCGACATTGCTTAACTTATCCATTACACCACCTGCACATCCAAGCTTACAGGACCTGGCATTCCGAAACGGTTACCCATTTAGGTACTGACCAGGCTCGACATTGAGCAGGCTTAACTTATCCATTACACCACCTGCACATCCAATCTTCCAGCACCTGGCATTCCGAAACGGTTACCCATTTAGGTACTGACCAGGCTCGACATTGCTTAACTTATCCATTACACCACCTGCACATCCAAGCTTACAGCACCTGGCATTCCGAAACAGTTACCCATTTAGGTACTGACCAGGCTCGACATTGCTTAACTTATCCATTACACCACCTGCACATCCAATCTTACACCTGGCATTCCGAAACGGTTACATTTAGGGACAGGCTGCTTAACTTATCCATTACACCACCTGGTTACAGCACCCATTCCGAAACGGTTACCCATTTGACCAGGCTCGACATTGCTTAACTTATCCATTACACCACCTGCACATCCAATCTTACAGCACCTGGCATTCCGAAACGGTTACCCATTTAGGTACTGACCAGGCTCGACATTGTTACCCATTTAACTTATCCATTACACCACCTGCATCACATGCACATCTTCTTACAGCACCTGGCATTCCGAAACGGTTACCCATTTAGGTACTGACCAGGCTCGACATTGCTTAACTTATCCATTACACCACCTGCACATCCAATCTTACAGGACCTGGCATTCCGAAACGGTTACCCATTTTAGGTACTGACCAGGCTCGACATATCCATTTAACCTGCACATCCATTACAGGACCTGGCATTCCACCTGCACATCACTTATCCATTCCAGCATCCCTGGCATTCCATTTAGGTAAACGGTTAACTTATCCATTACACCACCCGCACATACTGACCAGGCTCGACATTGTGCTGAGCAGGCTCGACATTGCTTAACTTATCCATTACACCACCTGCACATCCAATCTTACAGGACCTGGCATTCCGAAACGGTTACCCATTTAGGTACTGAGCAGGCTCGACATTGCTTAACTTATCCATTACACCACCTGCACATCCAAGCTTACAGCACCTGGCATTCCGAAACGGTTACCCATTTAGGTACTGACCAGGCTCGACATTGCTTAACTTATCCATTACACCACCTGCACATCCAAGCTTACAGCACCTGGCATTCCGAAACGGTTACCCATTTAGGTACTGACCAGGCTCGACATTGCTTAACTTATCCATTACACCACCTGCACATCCAATCTTACAGCACCTGGCATTCCGAAACGGTTACCCATTTAGGTACTGACCAGGCTCGACATTGCTTAACTTATCCATTACACCACCTGCACATCCAGCTTACAGCACCTGGCATTCCGAAACGGTTACCCATTTAGGTACTGACCAGGCTCGACATTGCTTAACTTATCCATTACACCACCTGCACATCCAATCTTACAGCACCTGGCATTCCGAAACGGTTACCCATTTAGGTACTGACCAGGCTCGACATTGCTTAACTTATCCATTACACCACCTGCACATCCAATCTTACAGCACCTGGCATTCCGAAACGGTTACCCATTTAGGTACTGACCAGGCTCGACATTGCTTAACTTATCCATTACACCACCTGCACATCCAATCTTACAGCACCTGGCATTCCGAAACGGTTACCCATTTAGGTACTGACCAGGCTCGACATTGCTTAACTTATCCATTACACCACCTGCACATCCAAGCTTACAGCACCTGGCATTCCGAAACGGTTACCCATTTAGGTACTGACCAGGCTCGACATTGCTTAACTTATCCATTACACCACCTGCACACCAACTTACAGGACCTGGCATTCCGAAACGGTTACCCATTTAGGTACTGACCAGGCTCGACATTGCTTAACTTATCCATTACACCACCTGCACATCTTACAGCACCTGGCATTCCGAAACGGTTACCCATTTAGGTACTGACCAGGCTCGACATTGCTTAACTTATCCATTACACCACCTGCACATCCAAGCTTACAGCACCTGGCATTCCGAAACGGTTACCCATTTAGGTACTGACCAGGCTCGACATTGCTTAACTTATCCATTACACCACCTGCACATCCAATCTTACAGGACCTGGCATTCCGAAACGGTTACCCATTTAGGTACTGACCAGGCTCGACATTGCTTAACTTATCCATTACACCACCTGCACATCCAATCTTCCAGCACCTGGCATTCCGAAACGGTTACCCATTTAGGTACTGACCAGGCTCGACATTGCTTAACTTATCCATTACACCACCTGCACATCCAATCTTACAGCACCTGGCATTCCGAAACGGTTACCCATTTAGGTACTGACCAGGCTCGACATTGCTTAACTTATCCATTACACCACCTGCACATCCAATCTTACAGGACCTGGCATTCCGAAACGGTTACCCATTTAGGTACTGACCAGGCTCGACATTGCTTAACTTATCCATTACACCACCTGCACATCAGCAATCTTCCAGGCTGACCTGGCATTCCTGCACAACGGTTACCCATTCCGAAACGGTTACCCTGACCAGGCTCGACATTGCTTAACTTATCCATTACACCACCTGCACATCCAATCTTACAGCACCTGGCATTCCGAAACGGTTACCCATTTAGGTACTGACCAGGCTCGACATTGCTTAACTTATCCATTAAACCACCTGCACATCCAATCTTACAGGACCTGGCATTCCGAAACGGTTACCCATTTAGGTACTGACCAGGCTCGACATTGCTTAACTTATCCATTACACCACCTGCACATCCAATCTTACAGCACCTGGCATTCCGAAACGGTTACCCATTTAGGTACGGAAACGGTTACCCATTTAGGACCAGGCTCGACATTGCTTAACTTATCCATTACACCACCTGCACATCCAATCTTCCAGCACCTGGCATTCCGAAACGGTTACCCATTTAGGTACTGACCAGGCTCGACATTGCTTAACTTATCCATTACACCACCTGCACATCCAATCTTCCAGCACCTGGCATTCCGAAACGGTTACCCATTTAGGTACTGACCAGGCTCGACATTGCTTAACTTATCCATTACACCACCTGCACATCCAATCTTACAGCACCTGGCATTCCGAAACGGTTACCCATTTAGGTACTGACCAGGCTCGACATTGCTTAACTTATCCATTACACCACCTGCACATCCAATCTTCCAGCACCTGGCATTCCGAAACGGTTACCCATTTAGGGTACTCGACCAGGCTTATCCGACATTGCTTAACTTATCCATTACACCACCTGCATCCATTACACCATCTTCCAGCACCTGGCATTCCGAAACGGTTACCCATTTAGGGTACTGACCAGGCTCGACATTCCATTAACTTATCCATTACACCACCTGCACATCAATCATTTGCACACAGCACCTGGCATTCCGAAACGGTTACCCATTTAGGTACTGACCAGGCTCGACATTGCTTAACTTATCCATTACACCACCTGCACATCCTTACAGCACCTGGCATTCCGAAACGGTTACCCATTTAGGTACTGACCAGGCTCGACATTGCTTAACTTATCCATTACACCACCTGCACATCCAATCTTACAGCACCTGGCATTCCCAAGTTGTCACCCATTTAACCAGGCTTGACGTTGCTTAATTTCGGTGATCGTACGGGAAGCGGAGTGAACAGGAATAAAGTTAAAGGTGGGACGGTGGAGTATTGGTAAAGACAATGGACAACAAATTAAAAAAAAAAAAAAGAAGCCCAGACTATGCGTATGTGTTTCAGGTTCAAATATAGCCGGAGCTAACCGTGATACTTTTGTTCAATTTAGCCGCAAAGTGAGAGAAAGAAGAGTGAGAGATAAAAAGAGAGAGAAAGAAGAGTGAGAGATAAAGAGAGAGAGAGAGAGAGAGAGAGAGCGAAGAGTGAGAGATAAAGAGAGAGAGAAAGAAGAGTGAGAGATAAAGAGAGAGAGAAAGAAAAGTGAGAGATAAAGAGAGAGAAAAGTGAGAGATAAATAGAGAGAGAAAGAAAAGTGACAGATAAATAGAGGGAGAGAAAGAAGAGTTAGAGATAAGAGAGAGAGAGAGAGAGAGAGAGAGAGAGAGAGAGAAAGAAAATCATGTGATTCCCAACCTCCCGAATTAATTTTTGTCCCGTTTGGCTCAGTCATTTGACTTTCATATCCCACGATTTATTATGTGATTCCTTCTTCCTTAGTGAGTGAGCCTCTTGGTTATTCCTATAGGAAAATTACAGCGGTTGTTCTTACTTTTGTGGGAAGGATGGGTCTTACAAACATATTTCGTTTTAGTTTGTACTTTTTGCTATATTTTAGTTTGTTTTTCGTGTACATACTCTTCATCACGTAAATTTTTATACGAAATTTTTTTTGATAATAAAAAAAATCAAAACTTTAAGCTTCTATATAGATGAGTTATTTTTGTAACTTCGCTGAGTAGATGTGGTATTGTGCTACATGTCAGATTGAAGGATGACGGATGAGTTCTTGTGGTGAATGGGCAAATTGTAATGTATGAAAGTGTAATGATTCCTGTCAGGAATAGTTAAATGACAGTACTGGTAGCAGACACGGAAATGAAATTACAAAATCTCCTACAGAATGTAGCGGCGGATAGTATGAAGAAGGGACTAAGCATAAACTACAAGAAAACAGAATGCATAGTCATCAGTAAGAGAAAGAGCCCGAAAAGGCTGAAACACTAGAATCAAGCAGACTCGAAATTTTAAATACCTGGGAAGCGTCTTCACAAAGAACGGTAAGTGAGATCTGTAGGAGTATCAGGATGGCCAAGGATACATTCCAAAAGTTGGGCAGAATACTGTAAGACAGGAGGATATCTTTGGTAACAGAGAAAAGAATACTGAACTGTTACGTGACATCTGTCCTTCTTTACGGCAGCGAATGTTGGACGGTCTCCTCAAAGATGAAGAAGAGACTCGAAGCGTTAGAGATGTGGTTCTACAGAAGGATGCTAAGGATATCATAGACCGAATGTGTGAGCAACGATGAGATCTTAAAGAGGTTTCAAAAAAGGAGGAGGCTTATATTTAATATCAGAAAGAGGCAGCTGAAGTTTCTGGGACACATAACGAGAAAGGAGAGCTTGGAGAATCTGATACTCACGGGTCGAATATATGGAAAGAGAGAAAGGGGAAAGCAGCACGTGACATATCTGACGAGCTTGAGCAGGTGGATGGCAGAACGTGGTGTTGTTCATGATGACGGTCGTCTTTAACGCGGTTAGTTCAGTATATAAAGCAATAATTTTAGGCTTACCTTTTGACAAGTAGTGTTCACGCAAAATTTGTAGAGATCGCCGTCCATTGTCCTTGGCCTCTCTCTTTATCAAAGACAAAATCATGTCATCCAGGAATTGTATTAATTCAGCGAAAACGTTTGCATTTTTTTCCATAAAATCATCATCCCCCTTCTTGTCCTGTTTGCAAAGGATGATGTCATGGAGTTTTTGTATTCTGAGGTAGCCTAAGAATTTCGTCTCCCATAATTCATATCTCGATTCATTCCCGTCAAAATATAGTCGTGGTCTGGGCTCATAACCAATGTTGTTCATGATGACGGTCGTCTTCGAGTATAGAATCCAGAGGTTAGCAGTGAATATTTCGAAGACAGTAGATAGGCGTAATTCAGGTTAGCAATGGTTATTCCGGTAAAAGTAGCAGAACGTAGTTCTTCCTTCTGTTCCTCTTCGCCTGACAAGTTGGCACTGGACATTCGGATAGAGTAAACAAAATGGCCGCCCTTATACATGACGGATTGAATATTCTACGTCTTCTGATTGGTTAACCTTGTATTCGTGGACTATAAAATGAGTCAAGTCATTTGGACTGGCTCACTAGTACATAATATAGACTGGGTTGAGGGTTGGACGGTCCCTACTAACATCAATTATGTTTAGTTTGTATTTTGTGTTAATTTTTAGTTGTTATTGGGTTTATCTCCCCTCCCCTCTCATTTTTCATTATTAGAATTTTATGTATATTGTCTATTCATCATGACCTTTTTATGGCATTGGGCGCGTTTGTTGGTAGGTTCCCCTTGAGAGGATGTGGTATTATGGTGAATGGAGGATTGATTGGTGATGGACGAGTTCTTGTGGTGAATGGGTAATTGTTTAGTATGAATAGGTCGTGAATCTGATTAGCTAGGTATAGGATAGTTAGTGAAGACCAGCCTTTATCAATCCCCGTTTTGGCCACGTGCCACAATTATGTATTTTCATAATAAATCTCCTAGTACATAATATGGAGAAAAAACGGCAGCACGTGGTGTGGGGGAGGAAGCAGAGGAAGGGAACTTGTTGAGAGCTGCAAGGGATGGAGAGCCATGATCGTCTACGTCCTGAAAGGACATGGCATAGAAAAAGAAAGAATGTCAACCAGCCTCTGATCTCATTTCCTGGGCCTTGTGCCAGATTTGTTCATTTTGAGCAGTAAGTATATTTACCTGCAGGATTTGCGTTGTCAATGTTTATGCAATCATGGGCGAGTGGAAGTTTCGTTTTAGTTACGTAATTAATCCTCTCCGAGATATCATGATCCACTTACACAGATAGTGACTAATACTTGTAAAATTTTTTTGGTTGGTGTGTGGGGGGGGGCATCGAAATGGTACCAGTCTGATATAACATCTGCTATTCTACTTAAAGCCAAAGAGATAGAGAGAGACAGATAAAATAGAAGGGAAAGAAAGAAAGAAAGAAAGAAAGAAAGAGAGAAATAGATAGAGAAGAGACAAAGGAGTGTGAGAAAAATAGAGAGAGAGAAAGAGAAAGAAATAGAGAGAGAGAAAGAGAAAGAAATAGAGAGAGAGAAAGAGAAAGAAAGAGAGGGAGAAGGAGAGATAGAAGAGAGAGATATGAAATAAAGAGAACGAAGAGAGAGTGAAAAAGAACAAGAGAGAGAGAGAGAGAGAATTGAGCGTGAGAAAGAGAAAAGAGTGAGTGTGCAAAATAAACAGAGAGAGTGAGAGCACAAAAGAGAGAGAGAGAGATAGTATGTGAGAGAAAGAAGAAATAGGAGAGAGACAGAGACAGAGGAGAGATAGAGAGAAGCGGGAGAGAGAAATAAAGAGAGGGAGAAGAGAGAGAGAGAAAGAGAGAAGAGAGAGAGGTGAAATAGATGAAGTGAGCGAGAAGAGAGAGTGAGAAAGAACCAGAGAGAAGAGAGAGGGAGAAAGAGAAAAAACTGTGAGCGCAAAATAGAAGAATGAGAGATAGAGAGAGAGAGAGAGTTAGAAAAGAAAGTTACGAAGAGAGAGAAGAGTGAGAGAAAGAGAGACAGAGGAGAGAGAGAGAGAGGTGAAAGGGAAAGCGAGAAGAGAGAGTGAGAAAGAGCCAGAGAGAAGAGAGAGGGAGAAAGAGCCAGAAAGGTGGAGAAAGAGAGAAGAGTTAGAGTGTAAAATATCGAGAGAGAGAGAGAGAGCGCAAAAGAGAGAGAGAAGAGTGGGTTCTATAGCCTTGGATGACAACTGGTCTAGGATAATGACAACTCTGAATTCAAACCCGGATTGGATCCCCTAAGGTGGATGGACGGCACTTTGTGCTACCTTCCAGCAACTCCTGCAGCCGCGCTGGTACCAAAATGTATTGGTTTATCCTCTCCTTTAGACTCTGCTAGCAAGGCCGAGAGGGGGAACTAGACGTCCGGACAGCCCTAGTTCTCCATATATCCCGCCCAGGTTCGTAGCGCACCGCCCTACACCATCGTCTCTCGAGACGGACGGATGCGGACGACATTTTTTTTTACTTTGAAAATATATTTTTGTATTCTTACTACAAAAATATATTTTTATACTTTCATAGTGTTTTGACTCAAGTTTGAAGATTCAATATTTGCCCATCGCTGGGACCCTAACAGGTGCTACCACCCCGTGTCAGGGTGGACGTAGGAATACCAGCAATTAAGAGGCGGTTCCATGCTCCTCAAAACCTCCAGATCAAAAGCCTTGCTGCCGGATGTAGTTTATCATCATACACGGACCGTGCAGAAAGCACATACACTTCTACAGAAGATATTAAAGGAAAACGTGAAGAAAGGACTAAACACCAATTGTAAGAGAAAAAAAAATTATAATTGTCAGCGAAAGGAATAGATGTAAATGCTAACCGTGAATTAGAAATATGAAGACAAGAAAGTACAAAAATGTAGATGTCTCATAAGTGTTTTAACAGAAGACAGGGAATATGACACCGAAATCCGAGGAAGCATAGGAATAAGCTGAGGAAAAAAATCGTTAGAAACAAAGAAAAGAGTACTGAAATTTCCAAGCAATCATCACTAGATACTGTCCCGCCTCGACGTTGCTTAACTTCTATGATCGTACGGGAACGGGTGTTTCAACATGATATGGCCGTAAGTCCAAATTGAGATAGACAAATACGAAAATGCTAACATAGATAGATAGATAGATAGATAGATAGATAGATAGATAGATAGATGGACTGGCATAGATAGATAGATAGATAGATAGATAGATAGATAGATAGATAGGCTGAGCTAGCTAGCTAGCTAGATAGATAGATAACGAATAGGCTGAGATAGATAGATAGATAGATAGATAGATAGATAGATAGATAGATAGATAGATAGATAGGAACAGACTGGCATAGATAGATAGATAGATAGATAGATAGATAGATAGATAGATAGATAGATAGATAACGAATAGGCTGAGATAGATAGATAGATAGATAGATAGATAGGAACAGACTGGCATAGATAGATAGATAGATAGATAGATAGATAGATAGATAGATAACGAATAGGCTGAAATAGATAGATAGATAGATAGATAGATAGATAGATAGATAGGATCAGACTGGCGTAGATAGATAGATAGATAGATAGATAGATAGATAGATAGATAGATAGATAACGAATAGGCTGCGATAGATAGATAGATAGATAGATAGATAGATAGATAGATAGAAAATGAAAAGACATAGATAGATAGATAGATAGATAGATAGATAATGAATAGGCTGAAATAGTTAGATACAGAGAGAAATAGAGATAGATAGATAACGAATAGGCTGAAATAGATAGATAGTAATTTTCCAAGCGTAGCTTAGATGTGACACAAGGCCGAAAGCAGGGGGCACCCAGTGAGGATCGAACTCACTAGACAGTCGTAATTGTTCAATCAAGACAAGCTGGCTAATCATTACATCACCTCGATATGCCCAGAGAGAGAGAGAGAGAGAGAGATAGTACAAGAAATGGTGTTTGAAATATGCAAGTGAGTGCTGGACAATCTAACATGCAGAGACTTTAAGCAACTGAAATGTGATTCTACAGAAGGATGCTGAGAATATTTAAGTAAAGAGGAAATTAAAAACAAAAAGTAGTCTTCGCTTTGAGAAACAAAGAGGGACGCTTGAACATTCTAGTGCACATAATGAGGCAAGAGAGTTTCGCCACTCACAGTAAATACTGACGACAAAAAAGCAGCGAATAACCTACAAACGTGCTTGTGTAAATCGTTGGTAAAACAGGGATTAGGAGAGATACCATGAAGACAAACATTGCCAAGAGCTACAAAGAACAGGGAAACACCGAACAATGTATTTAACGACGTTGTTTGAACACGGAGTGGAACAAAAAGTGTGAAAAGGCAAAGCATAATAAGAGCTACAAAAGACATGAAGATGTGGAGAGCTATGATTGTCCACGTGTTGAATGAATACTGCACATAAAAGGAAGAAGCGAAGAATCCCTATTCTTAGCTCCGTTTTCAAGACTTAGACTGGATTTTTAAGAATTAAAAAGAAAATCGCTTGGCATAGAGTCGCAGTTAGCAAGTTTGTCATACAGACTATTACGACTAATAGCATAGTACCCGTAGTATATATATATATATATATATATATATGTGAAAAGTGTATATAAATATAAATAAATATATATATGTATAATTATTTATATATTATATGCGCGGTACTTATTAGAAAGCGCTCAATATCAGAGATAGAGCTAACATATTTGGTTGGATAGATGTGAGTTTTGTGACCCTGGGTTTCATTTGTCTGACGATCGCTAAAGCGTGAAACCCAGGGTCACAAACTCACATTTATCCAACCAAATATATATATATATATATATATATATATATATATATATATATATATATATATATCAAATATGTGGTGTAGTTCAATCTATATTACAATGAATCATTCATACAAGAAGTAAATTAGTAAAGTTAATGAAAAAAAAATAGCGAAATCCTTTCGCTGACAAAATTTAAAAAATGCATTAACCTACAAATCACTCAATGAATGTTATGATCCTTGTTTTTTAAAATTATAAGCTGTATAAGGTCTTCTTAAATGCGTAAGTACTTTCGACTGCACATTCGGTCATCTTCAGGCATGGAAATTATTTTGTTTTTGGTAAAATTCACGTAGCATCCGAGACTAAAAAATATAATGCGAATAGAAATATGTTTTTTTTTTTGTTTTTTTTTTAAAGTATTATTGTTAACAGATACAAACTTTTTGATCGTGCAGTCGCTACGCGAAGGTTGATTTTTTTTTGTTTTTGAAAATTTAAGATCGTTCATAACATTCATCGAGTGACTGGTTATTCCTCCGTTTTGTTTATTAATTATTCATTAACCTGTTCTAGGTTACAACATATATATATATATATATATATATATATATATATATATATATATATATATATATATAGGTAAAAAAAAAATTCCGTGGGTAAATAATCCAAGTAGATCATATTAAAATAAAATATTAAAACTGATCAACAAAAGAGAGCTCAATATAATTTTGATTATAGAGCATATAAGTGAATTACAGTTATTGATATCCAAACAATTTACCTCATACGGATGATCATTTCGTCCACGGGAAAGATTTTTTTTCCCCTGGATTTATCAATGAAAATACATTAGCTAAAAAAACAAAAACAAAAACACATTAAAATTTAGTAAATGTACTTGCATTGATAAATACTGGGAAACAGTACTTTCCCATGGACAAAAATGGTCAAATGCTTGGATCTCATTAATTATAATTCACACACACACACACACGCACTTATATATATATATATATATATATATATATATATATATATATATATATATATTATTTCTATTATAAAGATTATAGGAAAACCTGTTAAAATCGCTACGCAAAAACTTTCATGTTTCAATATTTTGTTTGAACTTCTTCAGGTGATACTAATTAACTGATGATTAAATTATTTTTAAGTTTTACCTCTTTTGACATTGCATTACCTATGGTCAGATTTTAAAATTGGTGATATATTTGTCGCTTATATATTTTCCGCAATTGTCAATGGTGGCCTGTCTATGTTCTAGTTTATCATGTCGTGAAAAAAGTAACTCACCCACCACCACACTCTGAAATTATTGTTTTATTTAGCGTGGATCTAACATGTAATTGGTTAATCAAGACATAGCAACAAGTCTATTTTTAATTCTGACTTTATGTTTTGCCACCCTCTTTATCTTTCGGAAAAGAGGTAACACTTTCCTGATTAAATGATTTCAAGAAAATTTCGAAAGTATATATATATATAATTATTTATTTAAAAATATGATTCCAACGCTACATAAGAGTTCTCATGTTTCAAAACAAGAGCTGAAAATTTCAATATAATTATTTAAATTAAATTGAATTACAGTACCAAGCTCTGTTCCATCTTCAAGCGAAATGGTTTTTTTTTTTTTTTTTTTTTTTTTATTCCAAAAAAAAATTTCACTTGAAGATGGAACAGAGATTGGTAATTCAATTCATTTTAATTCAAATAATTATATTGAAGTTTTCGGCTCTTGTTTTGAAACATGAGAACTCTTATGTAGCGTTGGAATCATATTTTTAAATAAATAATTATATTTATGCTCTACCTTTTTAGCACTTTTTTCTAAAAATAATAACAAAAATACTAAAGAAATTTGGATTATTTACCTAACGAGTTCTTTCCTATTTTCTATATATTTTCACACACACACACACACACACATATACATATATATATTTTCTATGAAAATTTCTCGGACATTCAGGCCGGTAAATGTTATTTAATACTGTTTATCATAAACAGAGCATTTGCTTAAATACTTGTATCTATAAAATAACAACGTTAAACATAATAAAATGTCTTTAATAAATAAATTGTCGGACCTTGTCCATTTTTGATATATATGTATGTATGTGTGTAAGAAAAAATGGTTCAAGGCAGCGAAGGAGTATTGTCTGCAAAAACTCATCCGATGATCCAGATGCTTTGATGTTAAGCATTAGAGAGACAGAGAGAGGGAGACAGACAGACAGACAAAGAGACAGAGAGAAATAGGGTAAGGAAAGAAGTAAAGAGAATAAGAAGATGAGAAAGAAGAAGAGGGAAGGTGAGAATTTGCGGCAACAGAAAGAAAGATAAGAGAGACGATAATCTTTTCCACGGGAACCATTTCTTTTTTTTACCCAGGAACATTTTTTTATTTTAAAATCATCTGAAATTCTTAAGTAGAATTTTTTAAGATCAACTTCCGGTAAATTCCGTTAATCGTGTCACTGGTTAAATGGGGTATTCGCTGGGTTGAATCATATCTTATAAAACCCAGTTATTAGACAAGGGTAGATCCGAAAGTAATGTCTCTCATTTTATGATGGTAACCCATCATATCATGATACCCACCCAATCTGCCTAAATGCCAGTTAAGAGGTGCGGTTCGCGGCTATAAGAGGACGGGGCAATAAAACAACATTCTTTTTGCTTCTCCGGAATTTCGAAGCGAAAAAAAAAACCTCTCTCCATCGTGGAAGATTCTTACCTCGGCAGTGTGTCTTCGAAATTTCATTCAGCTAGGGGTTGATTTTCTTTTTAATTCTTAAAAATCCAGTCTAAGTCTTGAAAACGGAGCTAAGAATAGGGATTCTTCGCTTCTTTCATTTTATGTGCAGTATCCATTCAACACGTTGACAATCATAGCTCTCCACACACTGGCACAAACACACATCCACAGACATTTTTTAACAGCAACTAACTTTTACTTACTTTTCAGTTGTGAACCCACAGGTATATTTTTTCTTTTATTGAATGGTTATTCTTCATATATATATATATTTTTTTTTTCTGAAAATATTGTCACGTGTGGATTCAACCATTTTCTTTTGATTTTGCATACAGCAATATCCTAAAATCAAAAGAAAATGATTGAATCCGTCAACACAGCTATAATGACAATATTCTCCACACGTGACAACAACAGAGGTTGTTTTCAGTTAACAATATGAAAATAGCGTTCTCTACATTCCTCCGGTTGCTAAGAGCATTCTGTTTTTTGCTATTATTAGTTAGTTTCTTTAATTCATTTCGTTTTTTTTGCTTTGAGAAAGGTCACATTGGACAAAACGCGTCAGCAATAACTACAGTTTTCCTATTGTCATTTATATTTATAAATATTGTCTTTTCTACAGGTTAACACTGAGAAATTTTCATATATATATATACATACAATACACACACACACACACATATATATATATATATATATTTATGAATAAAAATGACAAGAAAAACTGGTAATTGCTGACGCGTTTCGTCCAATGTGGATTTATCAAAGCAATATACAAAAATGAAATTAATTGAAGAAAGTAACTAATAAAAACAAAAAACAGGATGTACCTAGCAACTGGAATGTAGAGAAACGCTATTTTCATATTTTTAACTGAAAATAACGTCAGTATTTGTCACGTGTGGAGAATATTGTCATTATATCTGTGTTGATGTATTCAACCATTTTCTTTTGATTTTATGAATCTGTTGTGTATATTTGTTTGTAAGAGCATTAATTTTGTTAAGAAAGGTGAAATGGAGAAAAAACATGGGCGTAGATTAATATTTGGGTAATTTTTCTATGGCGGCAGATATATATCCATATATATATATATATATATATATATATATATATATATATAGAATGATAAAAAAATCAAAATACACCTACATGCTATAATTATATATTAGTATATATATATATATATATATATATATATATATATATATATAGTTACGATAAAAAGAATTTATATATACACGCACACACACACACTCGCACAAATATATATATATATATATATATAGCACGACTCTGAGTTTCATCCAGTTCGTGCAATCTTCAGGTGCAAACCGACGTTGGATATTCTCATTTTAGCTGGATATATATATATTCGTTTGTGGCGGGACTCGTTAAAGGCGACAGACAAGTCACTAAGATTAAGCTATCTATTTAATTTTCGTCGTGTTCTTACCAGTGCTTTATTTTCATGGACAGGAAGTGTGTAAAAACTGTCCAAAGGTCTGCAAATGCGAGCGCTTTCGGCTGTTCGTTTGGCCATTATCAAGGGTGATTATTATTTTTTTTTTTTATTATCAATTAAATATGTGGGTTTTTGATGGATGTGTCTAAAGTTATAGGAATGATTTAGTTTTCAAACACGGTCAGCATATTCTGAACGTGTTCGTAGAAGAAAAGTTAAATAAAAGTTAATTGCGCATTGGCTTTTTAGGTTTTACAATATATATATATATATATATATATATATATATTATTGTCCATAAAAGAAAACATTTGTACGAACCCAAGAAAAGTTAAATAAAAAGCTTAATCGTCGTACCTAGTCTTTAACGAATCATATATAAAAGACGGATTATTTACCTAATTACACAATATATATATATATATATATATATATATATATATATATATATATATATATATATATATACTTAGGAAGGAAATCATTATTTTTACAGAACCCCACACCTATATATATGTGTGTATGTATGTATGTATGTATGTGTGTGTAAAAGTTCTCAGAATAAACCTACAGAGAAGACAAATTAAATGAATTAGACAATTCTTTTTAGAACCTTCAAAAGATTTGTTGATTTTTTTTTCTTGTGTCACCGTGTAACCATAAATTAGTATCGGTAATTCTAGTGTCAAATTCTAGCAAAAAACGAATAAATGTTGGACATTAATTAAACTTTTAGGACTTATTCATAAATGGATAAAATTACTTTAAAAATGTTTCCTTCTTAAAAAATTTGGGTAAAACATTTTTACATCTGTGATCATCAATTATTTCATTTTATGAAATTGAGAGAAATTCATTTTTATACGTCTTGAAGTTTCTATTTGTCAAAACCGGAAGTTTTTGGAGAATTTAAATCATCACTACTGCTATTAGCCAAGTATATTCTCTGAATCGTAAAGTGAAAAAGAAAATTCAATAAAACGAAGGCATTGCTTAATTAGAAAAGGATAATCCGTTTTAGTAGTTAGGACAGCGATGTGTATGATAAGACCCTTTTCGAGATTTCAAATTAGAGCACATTGAATATGCATCGACAATCTTTGTGACGATGTCGAAGACTAGCGATTTGCTGTTGAAACAATGTCGAACAATGTTATTTTATTATGTGGAAATAATAAAAGCATTATTTTCAGAGTTCACTTTCTCGCTTTATCAATATATATATATATATATATATATATATATATATATATATATATATATATATAGAAATAGAAAGAGAGAGATATAAAGAGAATAGGATAGATAGATAAATAGATAGATAGACAGATAGATAGATATTAACAGATTAAGATAGTTAAAAAGACTGAGAATTAGATAGATAGATAGATAGATATTAACAGACGAGGATAGATAGATAGATAGATAGATAGATAGATAGATAGATAGATAGATATTAATAAAGTGAGAAAGATTGATATATATATATATATATACATATATACATATATAAAATAAGACAGATATTGAACAGAATTACATAGATAGATAGACAGATAGGTATTAATAAAATGAGACAGATTGATATATACATACATAAATAAAATACGATACATAGATAATCAAAAGAATTTCATAGACAGATATTAACAAAATGAGACAGATTTATATATACATACATATATACATATATAAAATAAGAGATAATGAACAAAATTACATAGATAGATAGATAGATAGATAGATAGATAGATAGATAGATAGATAGATGAATTAATATGAACAGACTGGGGTAGATCGAAAATGAATACACTGAGATAGATAGATAGATAGATAGATAGATAGATAGATATTAAGAGACTAGGATAGATAGATAGATAGATAGATAGATAGATGAATAGATAGATAGATAGATAGATAATGAATAGACTGGGATAGATAGATAGATAGATAGATAGATAGATAGATAGATAGATAGATAGATAGATAGATAGATAGATATGGACAAACTAAGATTGTTGTTTGGTTGATTTGTTTTCGACGGCTTATCAACTCATTGCAGGTTATTTAAAGCCAGCAAATAGTTTTAGATTGTAAGAAATTCAGAGATAATGATTTAATGATACAAGATATATATATATATATATATATATATATATATATATATATATATATATATATATAAGACATAGAGATATAAATGAATGTAAGATATCGCACGTTCAATAGATTTTTAAATACAGCATAATTTGTGGAAAGGCGAGAATTGAGAACAATAAAGGCTGAGGAAGCAAGAAGATGGCAGATAATACCTTTGGAGGAGTTAAAATTAACAAGCCAGTCTTTGTCCCAGTAAACAACAGAGTGTCTTTTTTTTAGATCAGTTGCCAATTTGGCCTTATTATGGCCGATCAGATTTACTACCTACTTTTGGGTCCACTATGTAGCCGACAACAATGAGTAATAAATTTTGTGATTTTCAGTGCATTTCCATGGGAAAAATTTGAAACAAAACTCTGTTCCTATTTTGTCAGCAACCCTTTATTTATTTATTAGCTATTGATATTTCTTCCTGAGTTCCAACAATGCATTTACATTATATATAACTAGCAACCATATACAGCTAGTCGATCAGAAAAAGCGTTCAATTAGAATGGAGCAAAAACAGCATCATGTTTAGATGTAACGGAGTCTATTTTCTTCAATTACTTTAAAGTATTATCATTAAAAAACATTTTCAATTAATGCAGTTACTAATATAACAGAAGTAGTCTGTATTTATTCAATCGAAGTTAGCTGAGGACATGAAGGGGTAAAACAGGCAACATGAAGACCCACTTTAGACCCCAATTATTTTTTAAGTTTTTTGAAATTCAATTTGTCAGTGTGCTACCAGGGATGTAAAAGAAGATACATTTATAAAGCAATCGTTAAGTTTGAGAAAAAATGGTTGAAAGATCAACGAAAAATAAGAAAGAAACCAGTAAAAATCACCATTTTTCGCTATTTACGCTGGTTTTCACTTTATGGATGGACACAATTATCAAGTTAAATGACTGTTCAACTTATTATTAGCTACAATTGAGTGAAGTTTGTATTAGATTGCTTGAAAATTGAGGGAGTTTTTTGTTTAAAATTTGTGTTGAAATTGATTTTTGTTGAAATCGATTTTTGTTTTTTTCTCGGATTTTCGCTATACGCAGTGGCGACAAAATAAAAATGAAGTATTTCTGGTATTATGTACACTATTTAAATTTTTCGGACTATTGTCCTCATCTTTGTCGCCATATTTATCACAAGGTTTCGGCCTTTCATTATCTGCCTATATTTTTTTGATGTGGTATTATATACACTATTTACATTATTCGGACTTTTGTCCTCATCTTTGTCGTCGCCATATTTATTTCCATCAGAAAACATCCAGCACAATCCATAAGTAACAGCTACGACAGTCCAAAGATACTTGAAAATTAAATTTTGTATCAGCCCCTCAAGATCTTCCCAACTGAAAAAATCAGATCAAAAGGTCACAACAGCAAGAACCTATAGTCAATTAGAAAAGATCCAACTCAGTCCATAAGAGAGGAGTTTCAGCTATGACAGTCCAAAAAGCAGTGAAAAAAGACGTGAACATGAAATCGTACGGGTAACCTGTGAGGCACAGGTTACACGTACGATTTCATTTTTGAAACATGGTTATTACTGTGTGGCGAAGAAACCATATTTTAAATCAGTTAATTTATAATATATATATATATATATATATATATATATATATATATATATATATATAATAATAAAAAGACTTAAACACTAATATTCCATGGTCATAATTTATTCCATTGGAATCGTAAATATGATCCAATTCATCAGATCTACAAATTCAAAAAGAAAACAGAAAAAACTCCGGAAATAAAAACAGAATTTAGAGAGAGTGTAAGTATGAGAGTGTGGGACGAATGTTAGAGTAAAAGAGAGGGATAACAGACTAGAGAAGGAGGGGATTAAACCTTAACAGAGAGAATTTTAGGAGAGGTGAGTGGAAGGGGTTTAAGTAAGAGAAATACGAATGTTGTAGGATGTCCAATGCATAAAGATACATTTCGTGGTGACATACACACACCATAGACGATCTAATGTTGAAGAATATATATATATATATATATATATATATATATATATATATATATATATCCATAACATCAAATAGCCGTTTTTGATTGCAGGTACTATTGTCTTCCAAATATCTGAATGCAACAAAATTGAAGCAATAATGATCCTCTGCATGATTTTCGATTCCTTTCCATTATGAAGTCATTAACAATGCAACTGCATTATACATATAATCACACTATTCCTTCAGTAATTGTTGCATTTAATCCCTGGTGACTGGGAATCCTTGCAAATTTGATTTTCAATGCATTTCCATTGTTAAATTCTTAACGACGCATTTCAATTATTCATATAATAACTCCTGTTATTGAGAGAATGCTTGTATTAAATTCTGACCACCGAACATCACTTTCTGGCAGATTTTAAATTCATTTTTCTTGTAAAATTCTGAGGGTGGAAAGTGTTCGGGTGAATAACATTTCTGTGTTCCACAAGTTCTCATCTCTTCGGCTAAGACTCCCCTTGCCACACTATATGTGTCGAACAACACACATTCTCTTTGTACAACATTAGTGAGATATAAGTTCCCTTTGAACAGCTTCTTCCTACGAATAGCCGCATTGTGGAACCGACTCCCAAGAGGATGCTTACCCGATCATTACAATCTTAAACTTTTCCTATCTAGGTTATCAGTTATCTTCCACACATATCCTTATAAACTTCGCTTCTTACTTTGTAACCATCTACCTCGAGTGGCTCTTAGGCCTTGTACATAGTGAACATTAATCTAAACAAAAAATAGGAACGTCTTCTATAAGCCATGCGACGTCAGGATGTCGGCGGATAGGGCTCTCCACAACTTCCTCTTCGTTGTAGCTCTTAGCAATTTTTTTCGTTTTTACTATCTCTCCAAATCCCTGTTCTGCCAACCATTTACACTTAGGTTAGGCGATATTTTCCTCCTCCTCTCTTGCTTTCAATATATCTTGTGAGTGTCAAATTTTCCAAGGCTTCTTTTCTCATTATGTGCACTAGAAATTTGAACTGTTTCTTTTTGATACTCGTTGTATCTTACATACGGACGGGGTCTACGGGGAATTTTTGGCCGATCATACGGGCTCCGATACCCCACATTAAATTCGGCCTTATGCCACATTTGACCGCGTGTGGCGGTTGGTAGATATCCTGCAGTTGGGGATTCATTGTGGAATTGAGTAGACTACCTTCTTGCAGTTGACTTCTTCTACGCGCCGCTGGCGAATCTTATATGTGGTGTTCTTGTCCTAAGTATTATCATTCATTACCAACTTTCGTGTGATTATTCTATTCACTAACCTTCCCGAGGTTACGGCAATACTCAGTGTAAGTGTAGTTTTGTTTCCATTCTCTCTAAACCTTCGTCATTGCTCACATAGTTGATCCATGTTATTCTCAGTATCCTTCTGTAGAGCCACATTCCTGTTGTTTCAGGGCTTTTCTTCATCAGTAATGAGATTGACCAGCATACACTGCCATATACAAGGACTAATATATATATATATATATATATATATATATATATATATATATATATATATATATGTGTGTGTGTGTGTGTGTGTGTGTGTGTTATAACAGAAAATTACCTATTCTATTGTAATAGACTCTCCCACAGATAATAAGTAGTAGTAGCAGTGGCCAGTTGCGCTCAGTGGTGTTGAGTGAGTCAGTCGATGTCGGACATTGAAGTATCAGCCATCACAACTAGATTGGTGCGTTATTAACTCTTATTTCAAGTTCCTAACGTTTTGTATGTCGAACCTAATTTAGGACGACTTATTGAAATACAAGCCTCCACTGTTAAAACTACTCTACAGTGTGTATATATGTTTTGAACAATAAAAAATATTAAAAAACTAAAATCTTCAGACAAACTGGGTTGTATATTAATATTCTTTCGTTTTTCTTATTTCAGTTTCTGGTTTCGGCCAACATTTCTATCCTTTCCCCAACCTCCCCTATACCGAGTCTTTTCTCTGTAACCCTTTGCGTACTCGTGGCACTCCCACCTTTTGGGGTGAAATGCTTTAATATATATATATATATATATATATATATATATATATATATATATGCATGTTTCCTTAAATGATATAGACAAGTTTTGTCTATTCTATGTAAATTCTTTTCATATCGTCTGATAAGCTTTCCCCTTATCAAAGGTGACAAATACATTACAATATATTAAACAATACACGGACAAAACAAGAATGATAGTCTGTTTATGTTTATATGGAAGATAAGATCCAACAGCCCACCAAACTATCAACACTTGTAATATAAATATAGCCTTGTGAAAAAGCAAATTGAAATAGCCAAAGAAAAATTGAACACACTTAACAGCAACAAACAGGATATCTACGATAAACTGGTCATGCGGTGCGATTTTCACATCCAGCGTCTCGTATGCACGAGTTTGTAGTTGCTTGGAAGTCTTCCATGTAAAAATAAACAGGCTGTCATTATTGTTTTGTCCGTGTATTGTTTAATAAATTGTAATGTAATTGTCATCTTTGATAATGGTTTATGTAAGCCGAAAGCTTAGATAGAATTAAAAAAATATGTATCAATATTGTGATTTTCTTCCTCCGTTTAATGATAATGTTATTAAGCTTATCAGACGATATGAAAAGAATTTACATAAAATGAATAGACAACACTTGTCTATATTATTTAATGAAACATGCATCGATGAAAATATGCTGCCTAAATATATAAAAGTGAATATATATGTATATACTGTCATCAGCAGACTGACTATTTCGCTGTATCTCACAGCTGATCAATGTGGCTAGACGTCCGGTTGCCTCTAGCTAGGATCGAAACCCGGCTGAATTGGCGTCACTCGGAGAATCTA